GCGCGCGCCTGTAGTTCCGGCTACTTGGAAGGCTGAGGCGGAAGGATTGCCGGAGCCCAGCATGTCGAGGAGCCGGGAGCGGCCACTGCACTCCAGTCTGGGCGACAATGGCTAAAGAACATGAGTAGACACTTCTCAAAGGAAGACAGACGAGTGGCCAACAAACATATGAAAAAATGTTCAACTTCATTAATCATTAAATAAATGCAAATTACAACAATGAGAATGGTTTCTATTTTTAAAAATCACTGAAGAACAGACGTTGGCGGGATTATAGAGAAAAGAGAACACTCATACACTCTTGGTGGGACTGCAAACTAGTTCAACCTCTATGGAAAACAGTGTGGAGATTTTTCAAAGACTTAAAAAAAAAAGAATTACCATTTGACCTGGGGATCGACTGTTAGGGATACACCTAAAGGAAAAGAAATAATAATATTAAAAAGAGCTGGGCTCGGTGGCTCAGCCTGTAATCCCGCGCCTTTGGGAGGCTGAGGTGAGTGAATTTCCTGAGCCCGCGAGTTCGAGACCCGCCTGGGCAACTTGGCGAGACCTCATCTCTACAATAAATCAAACAATTAGCCGGGCATGGTAGCGCATGCCTATAATTCCGGCTACTTGGAAGGCTGAGGCGAAAGGATCGCTGGAGCCCAGCAGGTCGAGGCTGTGGTGGCTGGAAGCGGCCACTGCACTCCAGTCTAGGCGACAGAGTGAGACTCCAACTCAAAAAAAAAAAAAAATTAAAAAGATATATGTATGCATATGTTCATTGCTGCACTTTTTACAGTAACAAAATTATGAAACTAACCCAGGTGGCCACCAATGATTGGATTAAAAAATTGTGGTATAAACCGGGCTCGGTGGCTCAGCCTGTAATCCCGCACCTTTGGGAGGCTGAGGTGAGTGGATTGCCTGAGCCCGCAGGTTCGAGACCCACCTGGGCAACTTGGTGAGACCTCATCTCTACAATAAATCAAAAAACTAGCTGGGCGTGGTAGTGCACGCCTGTAGTTCCAGCTACTTGGAAGGCTGAGGCGGAAGGATCGCCAGAGCCCAGCAGGTCGAGGCTGCGGTGGCCGGGAGCGGCCACTGCACTCCAGTCTGGGCGACAGAGTGAGACTACAATTAAAAAAAAAAAAAAAAATTGTGGTATAGATACACCATGGAATACTACACAGTTATAAAAAACAACAATATCATGTCCTTTGCAGCAACATGAATGTAGTTGGAGAACATCGTCCTAAGTGAACTAACTCAGAAAAACAAAAACAAAGTACAGCCTGTTCTCACTTATATATGGAAGCTGAATGGCAAAAGAGATGGAAATAATAAACAATGGGAACACTAAATAAATGATAGATAGATAGATAGATAGATAGACAAACAAGCTTTAAAAAGGAGGGGAGAGGCTAGGAGGGAGGCTAGGATTCAGACATTAACCTTGGGCTTAATGTTTACTATTAGGGGAATGGTCGACCTGAAGCCCAATTTCTACTATAGAACACTATTGTCCATATTATAAACATGCACATGCACTCCCTGAATCTAAAGTAAAATAAAATTATATTTTAAAAAAGAGTCAGAAAAGATTGAAGTTACACAAAGGGTGTCCTATAAATTTCATAATTATTTTTGTTCTTACAAGGACTCTGAAGAAAGATTACAAATTTTTAAATAGTTGTATTAGTTTAAGGTTTTAAATATTACTATATCTCTATTAAATGTATGACCACAGATACTGGTAAATCTGCACAAGGAAACATACAATAGACATATTTAAAGAAAAAAGAGACACGTTTCACAAGTTTTGTGATCAACAAAATCTAAGGAAATCAATGAATCAATATTTAAATTTCATCAAAAATGGAACCCCTAATGAACTACAGGTATGAATTTTTTTTTTTTTTTTGAGTTGGAATCTCACTCTGTCGCCCAGACTGGAGGGCAGTGGCCGCTCCCGGCCACCACAGCCTCGACCTGCTGGGCTCCGGCGATCCTTCTGCCTCAGCCTTCCAAGTAGCCAGAATTACAGGCATGCACTACCAAGCCTGGCTGATTTTTTTATTTATTGTAGAGATGAGGTCTCGCTGCCCAGACGGGTCTCGAACCCGCGGGCTCAGGCAATCTACTCACCACAGCCTCCCAAAGGCACGGGATTAAAGGCTGAGCCATTGAGCCCGGCTGCAGGTATGAATTTTTAAAATGCAATAGGAAAATTATTTATAGTGTGAAATCTATTATACAATGTGCATATTGAATTTAGATATCAAAAACAGTCAAATAAAAAGGCACTAAAGAAATAGAATGTTTTGGCTTAGAAAAATAATTTAATACTCCAAGGCTTTTCTTTGGAATAGCTTTCAATTTATTCCACTATTTGTTTAAAATCATAGTAAGAATAATAATCTGAGTTTCCAAAACTGAAAGTAAAGTGATAACTGGTTCAAGTGCCTACCCTGACAAATCTCATAGTCTAATGAGGGAGACAGTTATGAAAATAACTATAATATTAAAAATTTAACAGTGACATTGGAAGGCACAGAGAGTATACTGAGTAATGATTGAGGATCAGGTAAAGATCGGGTGGGAAGTATGGTAAAAGCTATTCCAAGAAGTTCATTTTTGAGCTTGTACTTTGAAGGAAAAGGAGGCATAAAATGTTAAAAAGTATTTAAGTGACACAGCAAGTGCAGAGACAAGATGTGCAGCCAACCAATGAAGGAGAGGAAGTTTTGTGGTTGGTAAGAGGATAATAGCAGGGGTAGAAGTTGCAAAGACTATACCACACAGAGCCATATGAGTCATACTCACTAGTGTGGACTAGGTCCTATAGTAGACAGACGCAATGAAATATATTAGATACAAGACTTATGAAATCAGAAGTAGCATTTTCAAGTGGTCCTTCAAGAAAACAGGGGCTTAATATGATAAAATACCAGATAGCAATTTTGTAAAAGACTGATATGTGGAAAATTGACTTTAAAAGTATAAACATATGTAAATATCTAGCAAATCACAACCTGTGTATATGAAACTTTAAAAAAAAGAAAAAATTAGTGATGTAGTATTTAGTTTACTCTACCCTGGATTGTGTTGTTGGATTTGTAAAGAAGTGGGAGTACTGTTTGAGGAATATAATAGCTGCTTCTGTTAAAATATTCCAAGTTATTTGATGATATATGCACAAGTGTGTGTATGTGTTAAATTTTTAAAAATCCAATGATGCTTTCTTAATCTTTTTCTTTTTTTTTTTTTTTTTTTGAGTTGGAATCTTACTCCATTGCCTAGACTGGAGTGCAGTGGCATGCTAATGGCCACTGCCGCCTTGATCTGCTGGGGCTCTGGCGATTCTTCCACCTCAGCCATCCAAGTAGTGGGAACTACAAACGCACACTACCACACCAGGCTAATTTTTTAATTTATTGTAGAGATGAGGTCTTGCCAAGTTGCCCAGGCTGTTCTCATACCTGTAGGCTCAGGCAACCCCCTCACCTCAGCCTTAAAACACAGTAAGGAAGACCTTACTCAGACTGTTGAGATAATAGTTACAGCGACCACTGCAGGAGGGACTGGCAGCAGGGAAGAGAGAATGTGGTCTCTACTCTGAAGACAACATGGAGAAGTGGGAATTTATAGCCATCAGGCAGGGTGGGGGTGAGGGGATGGAAAGTGACTAAGAAAAAGCAAAATTGGTACAGGGAATTCTTACTAAACCTACCTAACAGGATTTTTGTTGAAGACAGACCACTGTGATCAGACATCTCCTGGAGCATGGTGGAGGATGAGAAATCTGATCAAGATATTGAAGGTGATCAGACACATGGAGGATTGCTAAACTGATTTAGCAGGTTCTTTGCTAACAATGGATTTTATAAGCAAGTACACAGATGGGCTTAGGAGAAGGTTCAAGAATCACACTAAATAAATCTTTGTCATACGTATGTATGTATGTATGTATACTACAAATAACATGAGCAATCCAGATTTTGTTACAGTTATGGAAAGGAACACTATAGTATGCCATGCTTGAGTAGATTAAAATAAATTTTGAAATATATGTATATACAGAGAAAGCACACAGTAGCACCTTGAATCTGGATTCTAGCTAACACATTTGCCAGCTGTGGGTTGAGGCAAATTATTTAAATTATCTGACATTTTTATCAGAAATGTGGTACCATTTTACCACATCATGGTGTTTTTAAAAGGTAATATGGTGTATATGAACATTTTTAGAACCTTACCTAGGACATACTACACAATAAATGTTAAACACTATTATTAGCCGGGCTCAGTGGCTCAGCCTGTAATCCCACGCTTTGGGAAACTGAGGTGAGTGAACTGCCTGAGCCCGCGGGTTTGAGACCAGCCTAGACAACTTGGTGAGACCTCATCTCTACAATAAATCAAAAATCAGCCAGGCGTGGTAGCGCGCACCTGTAATTCCAGCTACTCGGAAGGCTAAGGTGGAAGAATCACCGGAGCCCAGCAGGTCGAGGCTGCAGTGGCCGGGAGCAACCACTGCATGCCAGTATGGGCGGCAGAGTGAGACTCCAACTCAAAACAAAACACTTTTATTATTATTATTATTAGCATTATTGCTATAGTCATAATCCATATAGCATCATTGACTTGAGGTTTGCAAAGTAATTTAATACTCATTATAAATTTACTCCTACAATTGCCCTCTGCTGTAAGTAGCATTTCTATTTCTTAAATGAGACACAGAGTTTATAACCTTTTATATACATATATATATTATATATATATATTATGAGAACCTGACATCAGGGGTTGCTATAAAGGGTCAGTTAATATAATTCATGAAGTGCTCTTAGAACAGTGTTCAGGCACACTCCCTATGTATTAGCAGTGACTCATACCAGCAAATATAATTCTATTTACAACAATATTCATGTATTATAAGCAGAAAGGACACTGTCTGAAATAAAAATGGATATTAAGAATGCTATGGAACAACGGGCAGCGCAAGTGAGACTGGGGCTGGTGAGGCCCGCGGGTCGGGGCTGAGGTCGCCGCGTTGGGCCGGGCGCCGGGTCCCATGGAGCTGGAGGGGCAGTGGTGGCGAGGACAGCTGGCCGCCAACATGCACCAGGCGCTTCAGTACAAGGAGCTGAAGTTGCCCTCCTACAAAGGCCAGTCCCCTCAACTAAGTCTCAGGCGGTATTTTGCTGACTTGATTGCCATTGTGAGCAATCGCTTTACACTCTGCCCATCTGCCCAACATCTTGCTGTCTATTTGCTGGACTTGTTTATGGATCGCTATGACATCTCTATCCAACAGCTCTATCTAGTTGCGCTTTCCTGTCTGCTTCTAGCAAGTAAGTTTGAAGAGAAGGAAGACAGCGTGCCTAAGCTGGAGCAGCTCAACAGCCTGGGCTGCATGACCAACATGAATCTCGTATTAACAAAACAAAACTTGCTACACATGGAACTCTTACTATTAGAAACCTTCCAGTGGAACCTCTGCCTGCCGACAGCTGCCCATTTCATCAAGTATTATCTCTCTGAAGCTGTACATGAAATGGATCTTCATGATGGCTGGCCCATGATTTGCTTGGAAAAAACTAAACTCTACATGGCCAAGTATGCAGATTATTTCCTGGAAGTGTCTTTGCAAGATTATGCCTTTCTAAATTATGCACCTTCTTTAGTAGCTGCTGCATGTGTTGCTTCTTTGAGGATTATACTTCGTCTTTCTCCAACGTGGCCTACAAGACTACACCGTCTTACTGCTTATTCCTGGGATTTCTTAGTGCAGTGTATTGAACGCCTGTTGATTGCTCATGATAATGATGTGAAAGAAGCAAACAAGCAGAGAGGACAGGCAGGAGCCCAGTCAGCACAGCTCAGTGTGTTCCAAGTGGCCTCCCAGCCCTCACGGCCAGCTCACTTTCAGCAACCTCAGTATCTCCATCAGACATAGCAGACCTCACTGCAGTATCGCCATCCCACGTCGGAACAACCAAGCTGTCAGCAGATTGTATCTACCACACACACCTCATCTTACACACTACAGATGTGTCCAACTGGCTTCCAAACTAGTGTTCAGGGCCTTGGGCACATGCAGACTGGTGTAGGGATGTCACTGGCAATACCAGTAGAAGTTAAACCCTGTCTGAGTGTTTCTTACAATCGGAGTTATCAGATAAATGAACATTACCCTTGTATCACTCCCTGCTTTGAAAGGTGATGATGTGTGAAGGGAGTGACTGATCCAGGCTGCCTTGGAACTTGAAGCTCTGGGTAAGCTTTTTGTGAACTTCTCTTCGGAAGGAAGGGGATCAGGTGGCATCAGGACTCTTGGGTGCCAGCACCAGCAAGACTAAAAATCCCTTTCGAAGCACCGTGAATGCACGGGAGGACTCAGCAGTCACCTGAACAGTGTGTGTGTGTGTTGGAATCTGTTACAGCAGATCCCTGTATTTTGACAGAAATGTTCAAATCCTGGCTGATGGTCCAAATATTTCAAAAATAATACAACAGAAAGTTTGGACAGACTCCAATTTGCCATTTTGAGATTTGACCTGTGGTAGGTTCTCAGCCTTGTGTTGGCTTATGAGTCAAAGACTACTGTTTATCTGTGGACTTGCCAAACAGTCTTTTATGAAGGAAAGTTGCAGTATTAATTTTTGAAGAAGTTTTTTATTCTGCAGTTTTGAGTTTTATTTTTGTTCTACAGGTGCATTTTTCACTAAGTTTAAACTCATGAATTGCTATGCTATACCAATCTGTGCAGTAAAAAGGAAAAAAAATTAGATGATTCTATATAACTTCCTATCAAATAGTATAGGTATCTGGATTTATGTACTAAAATTAAGGGTGGAGTAGATCTTATCTTAAAATCATGGTCATAATTTTTTTTGTCCTTTTTTCCCCCTAAGTCAACCTCAAATTTTTAGAATTAAATCACATTTAACTCAGGGAATTTGTACTACTTGGAAACACTTAACTGTAATGCAGTGTGCTTTGGGAATGTTCTAGTATGAACTACCTTTATAACATAGGTTAAGATACTCTTGCTAGGATGTGTTTTCAAATGAGAACATACTATAGCTCAGAAAGAAGTGGTAGTTCCTATGATTCGTGAATACGTATATCAGTTTTGCATTTCTCAGTGCAATTTCTGGTTTATACTCAGATTTGATATTCTAAGAAAGAAAAAGTTTTCAAGGGAAGGCATAACTGTAAAATGTCAGTACTAGAACAAAGTCCCGTAAGTTTGTTTGGAGGAGACTGTGGCCAGGGTAGTTCTCAGGGTGTGCTAGAGTCGCACTTTGTTATGTGGGAAACAGGTCTTAGACTAAGTAACCTTCGCATCCAGCTAGTGAGTCTGAGCAGGCAAAGGTACTGATTACTCAATCTCAGCAGCCACTTTCATTGGCCCTATGATTGCCCTGGGACATTTTGCTGTGCTGGCAGGAAGTGAAGGCAGCAATAATAGATAATAGTCATCACAGCAAGGGCAGTGTGGGGATAAAATGTTTTGGGGGAATAACCTTAAAAAGTAAAACAAAAAAAACATAAACTGGTAAACTGTATGTATTGTGCTCTTATCTGTGGGAGAAGAGATTTGGTGGTGGGAAGCTTTCTGGTGTAAAAATTGGTAAGGTGTGTCTTTTGTTTGTGTCTTTTTGAAGATAGCACTTGCATAGAAGGGAACCTGCATGGCAGCCATGTGACTGCTGCAGTGTGCGTTGTGGACAAGCTTCTCAGTATAAAGACGTGGGTATGCAGCAGCGGAGTCTTGGTAATCAAGCCACCACCTTCGTGAGGAGGGGAGGGGCTCAACACAGTCATGACTGACCCAGCTGTCTCCAGGGGTGAATGTGGGGGCGTGGCTTCTGCCCAGGTGAATTCTTAGAGAAATGTGCTTTCCTTAAAAGGAAAATAACTTTTATATTTAGCGTGCATAGGGATGCTGTGGATTTATTAGTCTGGTAGATAAAACAAACAAAAAAACCACTCAGGTAAGAACAGTCACTCGTGGCAGTGTTCAAGCTTAAAAATTGTTTTCTGAAAATATCATCACTTTTCCTCTTTAAAGAAGGCTGCTCATTGGATTTTGGTAGTTCTTACCTCAAGAAAACTTGAATTGTTTGGGGGAGAGTGAGTTGTTTTGTTTTTTTTTTCATTGAAATTGAATTTTATTTCAAATGACTGTATATCTAGAAAGACAACAGTGAATGCTCAAAACAATTTGCTTAATTGGAAATTAACAGCAGTTGATTTGCAGGAGAGCAAACAGTGAGGTGCTAGCTGTGGCACACTGATAACGGCTATACCCAAGAAATCATAAAAATAACCAGTGTCCTTCTGATACATATCTGGATGTGCAGCATTTACAGCAAATCACATACAAAGAAGTGAGAAAGGAAAAGAAAAGAAAACACCACCAAGTCCCAAACCTCAAAAATTAACACTCACTTAAGAACACAGTGGTGAAGACTTTTGGTAGCAAAATTTGCAGTTCTTAAAGTGGAACTCTTCAAAAGTACTTTTTCAAATTCAAAAGCTAAAAAAACGAAGGAACAGTTTATGCTTAGAGGTGTTGTCGCCTGTCATGAAGATGACCGTCGGTCCTGCTTCCGAAACACAGTGAGAACCGGTGAGCCTGACGAACCTGAAGGAAGAGACTGCTGGAGGGTGCTGGCATCACTGATTGTAGGAGAACACGCCAGGCCAACTCGTCGTTGACAGCAAAAGCCACAACTATGGCTCTTCCGGGCTGACGCTGAGGTTGCCTTTCTGCACCTCAAGTTCCTCAGCACTAACCATTGATGGGTCAATGGCTGCGTATTTGGTGCCATGGAATTGCAGCAAATGTATCTGTACATACAGATTCACCTCTGCACTTCGGCGAAGGTATGGGAAGTTGCCTCCTGTTTTCAGGTGAGCTCTTGGGGCATTGGGATATAGCTTGTACATTTCTTCTTTAGCTTCAGTTGAGAGTGCACCCTGGTCAAACACATCCATAATGGTTACAGGGATGTCCTGAATTTTATGAGGTTCCACATAAGAATTTTGACAATTCAGGATAAGTCTTGAAGCCAGTTCACTCTGACCCAAACTTTCCAGTCTGTCCACCATGAAATCAACGGCATCAGTCATCATAGGGTCCACTGGGCCAGATGAAAAGTTTCCGAGAACTATTTTTTTGAGCATAAATGCTGGCATCAGCCAAAAGCTGTTTGCAGTCCAAGTCTGGTTAAAGATAGAGGTGTCACTGAAGGAATCGCAGAGGATGAGGGAATGGACCCTAGATTTGTGAGTGCATTCAGCAAATTTCTGAGCCAAAAAGCCTCCCAAAGAAGCCCCAAAAAGGTGAACTTTATCCAATTGTAAATGGTCTAAAAGTTTTCTGAACCCATCACAGAATTCAAGATGGTCCCAATATATTGGATACTGCAAAGCTATAACCCGGTAACCCCATCCAGTCAAAGCCAAAATCTGCTGGAAAAATACATCTGCAGTTCCACTGACAGGAGGCAGAAATATGAGAGGACACCTGATACTTTTGGGGCCTGCATCATAGAGTGACCATATCTTACTGTCATCATCATCTACGATAATCTTTTTAAGGGGAACTGTACTTCTAAACCAGTTATAATCAGGAGAGACTTTTATCTCCCCCATGATTAGCTGAAATGGAGGTTAGCCCTGTTCATACTGGTGGGAAAGGAACCACA